TCCGTGCCGGGAGGTGGAGCGAGACGGCAGACACGCGCCGGCGCCGTCCTCTCCGCGCCTCTTGCTTGCCTGTTGGGCATGTGACTTGTACTGAGCGAGCGCCTACTAGAGCCTGGCACTGCCTGGGAGACAGGTAGGGGAGAGACGGGTGGGCCTCAGGCTCAGCTGTGCAGGGTGGCAAGAAGGCCTTAGGGAGACCTGTAGGAGTGAGAACACGGCAGGGTGTGGCCCAGCCAGGGCCGCCACAGAGCAGATGCTCCCGCCCTGGGGCTTGCAGGGCAGAAGTGACATCGGACTGTGGAGGCGAGTAGGGGCTGGGTCCCAAGCCGTCAGCTGGCTGGCTCGCTCCAGGGGCCGTGTGACTGCACCCAGCCACCCTTTGGTCCAGCCAGGGCAAGTGGCAGACCCAGAAGACAGCCAGGTCCTCACCTCTAAGGGTGAGAGGAGGCCACAGCGCTCTTCTAGGTCTCCAGACAGCCTGACCTGCACGCCCCTCCCAGGGACTGCGCCTGAGCAGTGCCCTGCTGGGCAGGCCTCGGCCCTCCTGCACTCTAACCTCTGGGCCTCTCCGTCACCAGTATGCAGCCCCCAGGTGCAGCCAGCAGCTCTGGGCTCTGCTGCTCAGCTGCCCTGACCTGCTGGGAACGACCCCTGAGACCCTCCAGCCCAGGCCAGCAGGCAGTGCATGTCTGGCTCTCTGCCCCCCCAGGTAGCCCCAGGGAAGGGGAGCATTGTGGGGGAAAGGAAGCTGGCAGCACCGGCCCTGCTGGCACAGCGTGGTGGGCTCCTTAGGACAGAAACACTGGTGGACAGTGGCCCCTGGCCGAAGCTTTGGCCATCCCTCTCTGACCGCGGGGATACCCCAGGCCAGCTGCTCTCTGCCCCTCTGCCCGAGCCGCAGTGTGAAGCAACAGCTGCAGAAGGTCCTTGAGTGGCTCCTGACCTGCCCCGTTGTGACCCTTGGTGCCTGGCCTCCCCCTGGCCAGTTGACCGGTCACCA